ATATATTCAATTCTAATTTACCAAATGCTACGGATTGCCGAATCTCAAATTTCCAAGACAGACCTTGCCAGCTCAATGAAAAAGACGATGAGATGGCAACGACTTTGTAGAATTAAAACACAAAATTTATTAAGAATTTAAATATTTCCGACTCGTCCTCGTGTCTTCTTCAGCAGGTATGGCAAACGAAATAGAATTTGGCTATTATATTACAAAAAACTTGATATTATAAAGTGTATGATTGGTGGAAAATTTAATTATAACATGCATGTGATATGACAATACTAGGAAGGAGGCGGAGTAAGTGGTAGTAACAAATAAAATAATTGAAAGGTGCAATTATAATGAGTCTAAAAATAATAATAATCAACAAGCATTTTTAAAGCGCTCTATACAATAAAGTCTCAGAGCGCTAGCTAACTGTGTAGGTCCTAGCTCAATTCTCTAAAAAAAATTGGCACGTCAGTTTTTTTTTTAACCTTTACGAATGAAAGATGAAAGGCCATTCCACAGAGCAGGAGCAGCAACAGCAAAGGATCTTGATCCATATTTTGATTTAAATTTGCTAGGTTGGAGAAGATGCTCGGTACTTGACCTGAGTGTCCTCTTAGGCGAATAACTAAAAAAATACGGTTGGAAATTTATAATGGAGATTTCCCAATTAAGGCTTTGAAAGTAAGTAGGAGGATCTTAAACTGGATGCGTTTCTTATTCTTATTCTTTATTGCCAGAAACAATACAAAAACAAACACATACAGACAACTCAGGGAGTAGGCAGGAACCAAAAAGTGAACTAAATCACTGTAACAAAAGTTAAGTTTCCATACTCCCTAAGTAATAATAGGCCTACATAACAATAAATATTTAAATTTAGAGATATTAATAAACTCTTACAGACTTGATATCGAATAATAAAATCATTACAACAATAATAATCAAGCAGTTTAACAAAGCAGAAAAAAAGAGAAACGGGGATGAAAAAAGAGAGAACCATCCTATACGCGGCGCAATGTAACTAAGCGGAGGGGCTATAACATAAGACATGCGATTTAAGCGAGCGCAAAAAAAGTAGGAGAGGAATCAAAGATTTTCAGGGAGTTTTTTTCCCAAAGGCTGGGGAACAGATGAATGGCAGAAAGGTGAAGAGAGTTAGTTCTTGCATAAAGGTGTCTAAAAAAAGTGTCTCTTGATGCCGACTATTGACAAGTTTGAACTGACGGATGCTACTACAATCAGCAAGCCAGTAATCGACTTACAGACAAACGATAACAGAAGAAAATTTCTGCAAGCAGATAAACTAGGCCAGTTAAGCTTAATAAGACGATCTTCGTGCTCAAATTCGCTTCTTTTATGCTTAAGAACAAGTCTAGTAGCCCTTCGCTGAACTGCCTCAATACGGTCTACATGTGTTTTAGTATGAAACCAGGAAGGGACACCGTATTCAAAAGTATGAACAGCAAGAGCTTTATAAAGGGAGAAAATGGCAGAAGGTGAGGGGCCACAGCAGTGCTGGCAATGAAACCTAGCATTCTGTTCGAACGGGAGATAATTTTGTTAAGGTGGTCGTCCCAAGTAAGTTCTTTACGACAATATTTTGCTAGCAGTGCAATTTTATTCCCTGAATTCGACCTCAAGGTAAGCTTCCTCATGGCCTAACGGTACACTGTGGGTGATCAGTCAAGCGCGTAACGGATTTGGAACAGTTCATTTGTAATTTAGAGGGTTCCACAACTACAAATTAAACGCCATAACATTTTCATATGGACTTTCAATTTTTATTCTAAACAACATACATAATTATCTATATACCACTCACAGTTTTATTTTTATTCTCAAAAGAAGACATTTCGACCCTGCTTTACAGTCTTCACCACTCACATATACGTAGCCATGTACACACAAGAAAATGGAATCGACCATCTCAAACCAGTGAACCGCTCGAAAAAATGGGGTGTTTTACAAAAACTGACATTTATATACTGCTGGTACTAAAAATCTATAAGTTTTTACTGCATATAACTTACATCACTTGAATCTCTATCCTTTTCTTTTGCCTATGATCATAATTTTAATAAGGATAATTTAGTCATTTTATCTGTTTTTCCAGAGTATATTTCAAGCTCTACATCCACGTGAGCGTCAGACTGCCATATGCTTGTAATGCTTAAGCATATGGTGAGGAGTTTTGGATGATTT